CCTGGAAGAGGTAGGACCCCTCAGCAACGAGTCAGAAACAAGTCAGACCTGTTTGATTTAGGAATAACTGTCAGTAAATTATCTCTGTAGACATTGAACTTTGGGCAGCTGTTGGTGAAATGGGAAAGCTGCTTTCTGAGGAATGTCTGGGAATATCATGGTTATTACATCATTTTAAGGGTCAAAAGTAGAAGAAATGATTAAAGTTTTCAGTTTGATGCAGACATCTTTCATCTTCCTCAGGGGCGGTGCGGCAAAAAGCGACCTACCCAACATGTCAGCTTGGTTAAAATGTCTACTTTGACTGTGATCAGTCTACCACATTCACAGAACAGTTAAACTAGGTTCAAACACTGAAAAAATTGTCCATCTAACCAAGTCTTACATTCTTACATCGAGTAAAAACTCTTTTTGATCCTCTTTAAGTTTGATATACTAAGTAAGAGCAGCTTCTGTCTTTTTAAAAAAGTCTAATCAAAATTAGAGCAAAAATCTGGAATAATTTTCTAGTTTATCAATCTCAAAGCAAGATTAGATAATAAACTAAATACTGGGATTATTTAGCACTTTATCTCTTTAATTCTTTATTAGATACAGGATTGGATAACATTGGGTTTTAACAATCTTCATATTTATCATTATCTGCCTGCGAAAAAATAAAAGTAGATTTTATTGTAAGAAGTTTAATTGCACTTGATTTAAGTGGTTAAGAAAAATGATCGTCTGTGAGAATAAGATTTTAGCTCTTAAAATAAAATAAATTATCTGATGTGCAGATAATCATACTTACCTCTTAAAATGAAGGACAAATGGATTAACTACAAAAATGTTTGACTGATTTCTGGATCAATTTTGCAATGATTTGAAATTTTCAGGTTTTTAAAGACAAAACCATCAGTAATTTATTGAATTATATTTCAGGAAATCTAGGGACAATATTTTCATTTTAAAGCTAACAAAGGGGGGTAATATATAAAATCTTTGTTTTCCAGGTAAACTTCAGAGGCCAGAGAATCAAGTTGATCCGAATCAGAAACCCATGGGGTCAGGTGGAGTGGAACGGCAACTGGAGCGACAAGTACTGCAAAAATATTCACTCTTTGACTTTCAAAATAAAATAAATGCTTATGTCACAGGCAGGTGTAGCAGATGGATAGATGTCATGTTCTGAGTCCCAGCCTCTAGAACTTTATCACATCTATTCTTAATCTTTGTCAAACCCATGTCCTGTCTGTGAACTGTCAAATTAAAAGCACATGTGCTAAAACAGGAGCTTTAAATTAATAAATAAAATAATCTATTTATGCTCAGTAAGGTTTAGTAAAAGGCTTTTCTAAAATGACCTTGATGTCTAACCCTTTACTTCAAAGTTTTATCTGATTTTTCTGTAATCCAACCAGAGGAACCAGNCCTGGAAGAGGTAGGACCCCTCAGCAACGAGTCAGAAACAAGTCAGACCTGTTTGATTTAGGAATAACTGTCAGTAAATTATCTCTGTAGACATTTAACTTTGGGCAGCTGTTGGTGAAATTGGAAAGGTGCCTTCTGAGGAATGTCTGGGAATATCATGGTTATTACATCATTTTAAGGGTCAAAAGTAGAAGAAATGATTAAAATTTTCAGTTTGATGCAGACATCTTTCGTCTTCCTCAGGGGCGGTGGGGAAAAAAGCGACCTACCCAACATGTCAGCTTGATTAAAATGTCTACTTTGACTGTGATCAGTCTACCACATTCACAGAACAGTTAAACTAGGTTCAAACACTGAAATAATTGTCCATGTGACCAAGTCTTACAATCTTACATCCAGTAAAAACTTTTAACAATCTTCATGTTTATCATCATCTGTCTGCGAAAAAGTAAAAGTAGATTTTATTGTAATAAGTTTAATTGCACTTGATTTAAGTGGTTAAGAAAAATGATTTTAAAGATTTTAGCTCTTAAATAAAATAAATTATCTGATGTGCAGATAATCATACCTTACCTCTTAAAATCAAGGACAAATGGATTAACTCCAAAATTGTTTGACTAATTACTGGATCAATTTTGCAATAATTTGAACTTTTCAGGTTTTTAAAGATAAAACCAATTAGTAATTTATTGAATTATATTTCAGGAAATATGGGGACAATATTTTCATTTTAAAGCTAACAAAGGGGGGTAATGTATAAATAATCTTTGTTTTCCAGGTGAACTTCAGAGGCCAGAGAATCAAGTTGATCCGAATCAGAAACCCATGGGGTCAGGTGGAGTGGAACGGCAACTGGAGCGACAAGTAGGGGAAAAATAGTCACTCTTTGACTTTCAAAATAAAATAAATGCTGATGTCACAGGCAGGTGTAGCAGATGGACAGTGGAGTGTATAGATGTCATGTTCTGAGTCCCAGCTTCTAGAACTTTATCACATCTCTTCTTAATCTTTGTCAAACCCATGTCCTGTCTCTGAACTGTCAAATTAAAAGCACCTGTGCTAAAACAGGAGCTTTAAATTAATAAATAAAATAATCTATTTATGCTCAGTACGGTTTAGTAAAAGGCTTTTCTAAAATGACCTTGATGTCTAACCCTTTACTTCAAAGTTTTATCTGATTTTTCTGTAATCCAACCAGAGGAA